ATACGTCCCAAAAATATTTAATAAATCAGTGCAAAAACCGAGTATTAAATAAATTGAAATAATTGAGTAAATAAACTGAAATACATCCCAAACAACAGTACTAAGAACGAATAAGGCCAAGTAAAAAAAAAAACATGTTTCACGTCCGGCTTTTTTTTTAAATTGAGGAAGAGGCCTTTTTTATTTTTTATTTTTTATTTTTCAAAATGGCCGCCATTCTACAGACTTGCTGACATTTCCCGTCTAGTTTTGTTCAACATATAAAAAGACATCACACAAGATTAGAAGCTGTAACAGTGTATACTGTTTATTTGGCAAGAGTGTTATTGGGTATTACAAGCTTTTTTCTATTCACAGTGGCATTGCAGTATGTAAGTTAAAGTTGTAAAGTAACCTGAATCAAACACATTAAAATTGCGCACATTCACTCTTGAATATACATCATTTTTATGAAATATATTAAACGGAATGTTCCCGATGTTACGTCTCAGACGTCTTCACATGAAACTATTCCATACAATCTGACATTGAGGGCCAGTATAACAGGAAATTCCAGAATTCATCTGAAATCATTGGCCGTATTCGATGGGACTTTCGTGCTCTGCTCAACGGAAACTGCTCAACGAAGTTAACGCTCGGAATTTATCGTTGAGTTTTGTACTCAACGGGATAAAATACTCAACGTATAGTCCCAATCGAATACGGCAATTGTATGCATGACAAACGCACTCTAGTGAAGTGAACTCGAGGTTTGCCGCCTGACGCCCAGAGTAGGCGACGGCCTAGGCCTAGCCTAGAGATATCGGGCTAGCCTAGGCATAGCTTTACTATACGAAAGGTTAGACGAAGATATTGCACTATTTTAGGCTAGGGTATTTATTTTCCAACATTTAATTCTAAATTTTCGATATATTTTTTCTTTATTTTTATGAATTTTCCAAAAATAAAAAATAAAAAAAAAATCAAGGTGGGCGAAAAAAAACGATGCGGGCGGGGACGCGAAACATGTTTTTTTTTTAACTTGGCCTAAGTTAATTGAAATACGCCGCAATTAACACGCTACATTCACTGAGAGACGCGCTTGGCGTTCCATAGAAATGACCGGCGGCTCAACTTGTCGGCGGCTCAACCAGTCATAATCTGAAAATTGCTGTCCTGTACTGTATTTATTTACATTTGGGTGGTTGAATCATGTAAAAATATTTTATAATCATATTTTCTGACTGTGAGAAGAACACTGGGGTAAAAAATTAAGATTTAAAAGTTAGGTACAAAAGTGCATTAGCGCTGGCCTTGTCCTAGCTAGGCCCTAGGTCGGGTCGGTGGCCTAAGTAGTAAAGTAGGCCTAGGGGCCTGGCCCTAGGCCTAGGGCTAGTCCTAAAATAGGGCAAGCATGCAGTAAGTAAGGGTCTAGTCACTCTATCTGTAGGAGGCCTAGCCTAGGCCTAGGCCTACTGCTGACGTGATTTGCGATTTTAGCATGAGAATTATCCAAATTATGCATAAAGCTCCAATAAATATAGTAGATAAACTCACCTCAACATCTGCACTAGCCAAGCTAATAGATCCCCTGCACCCCACATTCATACCATTTTGTGACCGATAGTAGCTAAGCGTGCCATCTCTTAAAACGACCCATCGATCTTGCCATCCGTGAAGGTAGTTGGTCCATTTACTAAGGGTCTCTTCAAGCTCGGGTAGGCTATCTGACTCGCTATCAAATTCATCGTCATCCTCATCACTGTTGAGACTTACTTCATCCGCAACCTTATCTTCATTTTGGTATTTAGATTTTTCATGCATTTTCCAACACGTTTATACACTTTTAATTCTAAAGGCATTCGCTACAGGACAGTGCTTTCCAAAACAATCTCGAACACTCCCTTTTATCCACTCGCTTTGAGAGCGACTACAGTTCACGCTGACTGTTGTTTATGGAACGCCGTTAGTATCTTCGAAATTATGTGTAAACACTCTCTTCTTGAGCCTGGTTTCCGTCGACGTTAAAAAAGCCAGATTTAACAGGGAAATAGTCAACTCGCCCCCCCTATCAATCTCGCCCACTTACAAACTCGCCCCTTACAAACTCGCCCTATAACAAACTCGTGCCTTAACAACTCTCCCCTTACGAACTCGCCCCTTTCTCTACACAGTCGCCCTTTTACAAACTCTCCCCTTTACAAACTCTCCCCTTGACAAACTCGCCCCTGACAAACTCGCCCCTAGCAAACTCGCCCTCTCTACAAACT